TTCATACATCCATATTAGGCAGGTTCTATACATAGACTGTAAAAATAATGGACGTAGCTACTGTGTCATCACCCACTGGTTTGCCATTTTGAAGCCTCAAGTTCAGCATTTCAGCTATTGCATCTTGGTTTGGGGTGCCGGAAGTGGATCTGACTCATACACTGTAGCAATGCCCTGCAGACAGCCTGTCACTCAAACGACCATGCCTTTAAATATGCCAACTTTGAGCTTCAGTAAAATATAAATGCCTGAGTTATATAAACATTCACCCATGTACAGTTGTCATGAGTGTTGAAATTAGCCATAGAGACCAACAGTTTTTTGTACCAGGCCGTAAACATGTTAATGACTGCTGTAATGTTGGTCATTTTAACATGGAGGTCTGTGGGAATTTATTCTGTTCTGGAGTCAGCCTCAAGTGGCCATTTGATGAACTGCAGTTTTTTTAGCACTTCCGAATTTGCTTCATTTTTTAGTTACTGGCTCATAATTATGTGGGTTATATACAAATTCTGGTGGATTACTTTTCATAGGTTATACAAACAAACAATGCATGAGAACATTTTTTTTCTAAAAAATGTATTTAACACATTTTTAACCAGGTAAGTCCTGTTGAAATCAACAATCTCTTTTACATCTTTTACAAGGGAGACCTGGCCAAGACAGCAGCATACAAAAAGGTACAACCAAACAACCACACAAAAAAAACATAAAAGATACACAGTAACATGTAGAAATATTAGAACACCCACGCACAATGACAAGAACCAACCAATTAATTTATCCTTGTGCTTATAAGAGCTTTACAGTCAGGCAGAGACCAGTTTGTGTTGTTTCAACTCTTTTTGAAGGTTATTTCAATTGAGAGGAGCAGAGCACATAAAAGCTTTCTTTCCCAGCTCAGACCATGCACTAGGAACAGACAACAAAACCAAGTCTCTTAGATTAAACATTGAGGTTAGTCGAAAGCCAGTACATCTCTTACTGATGCTAGAGGGTGCCTTGTGCGTTGTATCCGACCCAGCTGCCTATTTGATGCTCTGGGAATGAGAGCGTGTTGAAAGGCTATGTCAAGCCAGTCGTGGCAAAACAAACAAAAACAACCACAAGATTCAAAGAGAACATTTCATATTTATGAAGTTCCAACATCTTTATCCACTTGGTTCAGATGTTAAAAAAAAAAGACTTGATATTGAGATACTAAGAGTGACAAAAACCAGATAACAGTGTCTCAGTGAAGCAGACTACAGCAACAGTTATAAAACAGTCCAGAGCAAAGCCACACTGACAGAGTTAGACAGATTTATTGACTGACAAATTCCCACAGCGCAGATCTTTCAGAAGTGTTGTAGCTCTTCTGGTAACATGGATAAAACAATAATGGCAGAAAGCGATTGTGAAGTATAGTCCAGCAGCAGCAGCAGCTCTATTAAATGTCACCTTGAGTGCTAATGAGTCCTGCTCTTGAGTCCTGACTGATCTGACCTCTGACCTGTTCAAGGACATCAAGAGGACAGGAAATTCAACCTCAGGGGATTAACAGGACACATAATGCTTGTTGACTATAGCGTTAAATTATTAGCCTGCCCTCTGGTAGTATTGTTATCTGCTGCTCAGAGACATTTCCATTTTTCTCTCACTCTCCATCTGGCTGTAGGCACTGTGGCTCACTGCACCAATAACACACTGCCCTGTAAAGGATGATACACAGCGAGCCAGTTATTAATGTAAAATAACCCCAAACAAAATTAATAAACACCAGCAGGCTTTCCCATTGTTTTGTCCTGCATATTAGACGCTGCTACCAGAAAATCCATCATGACATATTGATACAGGATCATCTTTTTAATAATCTTAAGCTGACACCAAAAGCTTTGCAGGACTGCCAACAATAAAAATATATGGAGCTAAAAATATGTAGCTCCATTGCTACAATTACAGCAGATCCGTAACCATAGCAACATAGGCAAATCCACTACTCAATTGAAAGTCTTTGGTTCTTTACTGGACAAACGAATAGCATCCACTTGACTTCTCGAGTGCAGACTGACGTGAGTGGATGTGACAGAGGCTTTAATGGGAATCAGAACTGAAGCTGTCCCTTAACTTGGCAGGACAAAGAAAGTGATGTTTTAATAATTCAGCACTGTGACATCAAAAATCATAAATGTTGTTTTATTTTAAAGAGGAATAGGTTTTCCACCTCTTGAATCCCTTATCGAATAAATACCTTTACTGCCAACACCAGCTGAGGATGATGGAATAAAGCGTGGCTTCCCCATGTGCAATACTACCACTTCTTATCAAAATGAATCGGCCATTCTGAGAACATGTGAGCGCAGGATGGATGTTCCACTGATTCAAAGTAATTTGGGGTAGAAGAGAGGAAGAGATGGGCAGGAAAGGAAAAGAATGAGAGGAAACAGGAAAGTATGAGGTAGAAATGATCAATGATGGAACAGGCGCTTCGTTGAATTCTGGACACAGTCCACTGAGAGCCTATAAAAAGGTGGGGCACAAGCACATGGAACTGCTTTATGGTTTTTCTACTGTCATACTGCACACTACAATGTTTTATCTTTTTTCTTTCACAGCAGAGGTTTTCTTTCCTCAGCTACTGGAAGACTGAAATGTCAGCAAAAGTGGGGCTCGTGGGATATTCTTACCATTATCTTTCATTGTGCACTTACAAAGATTTTTTATGGCTACAGCAGCCGTAATGGCTCATGCAAATCAATGTAGTGCAAACATCTGCACACACACAGTTTCTCTTAGACACACATCCCCCCAAGGAGCCGATCTGCAACTGACAATCAAATTAGTGAAAATCCTCGTTAGCCTTGGTTTTGTCACACCTGCATGCCACGGTGAATAATAAGTTACATGAGGGACATAAACCATACAGACCGCGTTACTAAACTCAGATGAATTTAATTACTGCACTGACAACTGCCCTTCAGGGCAAATAGCCACTGCAACCTGAAGCCTGCTTCTATTTACTGATAAGCTGCTGCCTGGATGTGAGATGTGGGCTTGTCACAGGATGTTGCCAGTTTAAATCACTGGTCAAAGATGATAAAGCTCTATCTTTTCTTCCAACCCAATCGCCAGAAATATTTTTTGCAATTGTACATTTCTGTAAACCACAGCTGCATTTCATTTTAATGTTACTATGAAGCAAATGTGCTGAAACCTCATGTTTCAGTAACATGTGGCTAACATGAGGTTAGGTTAAGACACAAATAACACTTGGCTGTGGTTAGGAAAAGATCATGTTTTGGCCTAAAATACCCAGTTTTTGGGGGCACAGTTTCAGCAGGAGATGCAGCAATGTCTCGGTGAAAAGCAACTGCTTTTTGTGTCACTATCCCCGAAGGAAATGCAGCGATGTCTTGGTAAAAAAAACAAACATTTTTTTGTTGCACAATCCTGGCAAGACATGCAGCGATGTTTTGGTAAAAAAAAAAAAAAAAAAAACATTTTGTGTTGCACAATCCTGGCAGGAGATGTAGCAATGTCTTCGTGAAAAGCTACAACTTTTCATGTCACTATCTTGGTGGTAAATGCAGTGATGTCTTGATAAAAAGCAACCACTTCTCATGTCACTTTTATGGAGGAAGTGCTACAATGTTTCCCCAACAAAACCCCAACTGCTTTTAATGTCATGATCGTGGCAGGAAATGCAGGGATGTTTTGGTGAAAAGCAACTGCTTTTCGTGTCACTGTCCCTGCAGGAAGTGCAGCGATGTTTTGGTAAGAATCAACCATTTGTGTTGCACAATCTTAGCAGGAGATGTAGCAAAGGTGAAAAGCAACCGCTTTTAGCGTCACTATACTAACAATCGCTTTTTGTTGCACAATTCCGACAGGAAATGCAGCAAGATTTTGGTCAAAAACAACTGCATTTCATGTCACTATCACAGCAGGAAATGCGACGATGTCTTGGTGAAAAACTACTACTTTTTGTGGCACTATTCATTCTGGAAAGTATGTGTATGAGATGTCGCTACAGCACACCCACTTTTGATGGCTAAAATGTCGCTGGAAAAGCAGCAATGACTTCCTAGATCACAGCCATTTTTGTTGCTTTTGGTCTCAAACATTGGTTTGCTGTGGTCTGCAGCTTGGCAGGCTTCTCACTGAGGTGTCACACCATCAACCTCCACCTTCCAATGACAAAGTCAGCTCATATGCTACATCCCTTTAGACAATGTTAATATGATATGTATGTAACGTGCCAAGGTAAGGTATTCATGGTTTGCAGAAAGGAACAATGCTATAATTTTTTCTGGTGATTGGTTTGGGAGAAAACAGAAGGCTGTTGACCACTGAGCAATGATTTAAACCTGTGACCTCCTAGCTGTTGCAGAAAGTGAATAAAACGTGTTTTTACGGTTCTCTTGAGTAAAATGATGACATAAAAATAGAAAATTACCATTTTGTTGTTTTTCCCCGAAGCAAGAAGATAACACTTTACTTAGTAGCATCTGTCACTGTGCTCTTGACCCAGGGACTTTACACCTACATGGCTCCTCAGAGGCCACCAGGGGAAGGCACACAGCATGTTGGATGATGCTTGAAAGAACCAGAGTGGTCTTTCATAATGTATACTGTACAAATGTAAGACATCTTCATGCTGAGCTGCTGCCCTTTTTTCACAACCTCAACAGCAGCGAGGTGCACCTAAGATAATAGGCTCATCCATTGTGTGAAATTTTGCAGCATGGGAACCCTGTGAAGTGTTGGACAGCGCGCACAGCTCCTCTCTCTACTTTATTCAGCAGGAGCGCACACGGTCCACACCAGCAGTGGCAGAGCAGCGCAGCGTGTCACAGCGGTGAATACCTCCTCTGACCGATACAAACCACTGCGTCCTCTCCATTAAGGCGCATCAGCGGGCAACAATGTCTCCAAACACCCGCATGGATTTCATGGAAGCGATTTGTTCCACTTTCTCCTTTTACGCTCCGTCCTAGCGCGTCTTCTGCTGGGTACGCGATGTCCTGGATGTATTTTCTCCGGAGATTGTAAAGTGGAGGGAAGCGCAGCTCACTGAAGAAACCATGTGGGGAGCAGCCACGTCCCTTGATGGGAGCACCGGAGGCGCAAGGCGACGCTAACAGGAGATCATTATTTGTGCTTTCTTGGAGAAAAAAAGATCCGTCGATGAGGAAACAAAGAGAGTAGAGATGGTAGAGAAGTAAGTGCGCCAACAACTAGTTGAAATCCATCTTTTGAATCATAAAAACATTATAAATATCTTGCATGACTTGTAATAAGTGTGCACCTCCAGAGAGTGATGATACAGAAAAAAAATGTGCTGATGCTTATGTGTTGTTTAGTAGTGAGTTTTAATGAATTGTGGCATCTTTTTCTGCCTCTTGGTGATAACACTAGATTATTCCCTTGTGATCTTTAATATACTTTTATTTTTGCACGTGAAAAGCCATTTAAAATGACAGAAATCAAGCAGATACTGACGCAGTTATGTAATATTACAAATACAGCTAAAAAAGGAAAAATAATTTCAATGTTCATGTGTTTATTTCACACAGTCCCAGTTTACTACTGAGTGAGTGATCCTCTCCATAAGTTGTTTACTGTAGAACACTGTCTATCAGGACCTCATGGGGTGCTTATGTAATTGCAGCTAGTGTAGCAAGCTGTTTGGGGAAACAGGACTGTGACAAAGAGTGTTTAATTTTTAATAAGCTTTTACTCCATCATTGTATTCATTTGTGCTGTGGGACCCAAAAGCTAAGAAAAAGCATCATTTCAGTTACAATACATGCGGGGAGACAATTTAAACCCTGCTGTGACACTATTGTATACATTAGAAGTATGATTATCCATGCATGTTTATTTTATAACACTGAATATAAAAACCTAATGTTATAAGAAAGCCTCACTGAGTTGAGTCCAGGTAGAAATCAAATTCCCCTTATCAGATTAAGCTCAGAGAAGGAAGACAGGATACAGAAATGTGTGCATGTAAGTCCAGATATAACTGGAAATACTGTTTAAGAATACAGGTGGTATGAGCTGTGTTTCAGACCCTGCTCTGTCTTATGCAGATCATTATTATCTGCGGAGTAGCACTATTCCTCTGGTTCCTTATTGTAAGAAGTAAAAGAACCACCATCAGAGGAAACTGGCTACAGTAGTGAAGTCACAGGAGGGAGTACATTAAGTTCCCATGTGTCAGATGCTGCAGTGCATTTAAAGTCTGCAGTTTATTTGTCTTTAAAAGAGTGGATATACTAATCGTTATTAAAAGAGTATTTCGCAGCAGTGTTCTGATGTTACACTTAGAAATAAGGGTTCTAAAAGAGTTCTTCCTGAAGGACCGAGGGCTGAATGTAGATGTATCTTTAATCGCTTTTATCAATTAATTTAACATGTGTTCTGCCAGTTAATATAATATATATATATATTATATATTACTTAATATATAATAATATATATTAATATATTACTTGGCAGA